TAAAAAATGGCAACCTCTGAAACAAATGAATGGAAGACCTAAACCAACCAGCAGGAAATGCTGAGGGATCTGACCTGCAGGTCAGCTTTCACAGAGGCTTAGGTCTTTGATTTTGCTGGATGAAGGTGTTTATGCATTCATATTATTTGCAATTGCAAATACTTTCTTGGAATTAGATGCCTAACCAGAGTTGGCTTTTTCTTACAAAAACAAGCACACAAATAGATCTCTTCAACAGAAAGCCAGAAGCTTATGGGCTAGGCAACTTAAACCAAAGGTCCTTTTCAAAGTCACCTTGCTAATTTGGGGGAGTGATTTGAACTTATTCATGGCAGGGACTCCTGGACTGAGCCTCCCCTGTTGAAATTGCTGGGCAAAGCGTAGGATCACCACGGGGGTGTAGGTGGTCAACTAGAGTAAAGAAAAGTTAAGTTCTGGTTCATGGTTGGAGGTATAAATAATGGGAGTTTAAACCTGAAGATCTCTCATCCTAGTCCTGAGGTACTGAACAGAAAGGTCTCCTGCGCTGTCAGTGCATCCCCCAACGTCCTGACTTCACTGTCAGGATAAGGGGCAGATCTGAAAGTTGCACTTAGTCCTCTGCATTTCCGCAGTTGAGAAGCGGCAGAGGAAGGATTTGAGTACGCTGTCCGGGTTTGGATGTGGATTACTGATGCAAGCAATTGTTGTGAAGACTTCAATGTTTATATACACACCCACTGGCAGAAATGCCTGCGCTTTGAGAGTAGTAGGCACCTCCAGGTTAGATAGCAGCTGAGTAGGGATGTTGTAGGTTTTGTTCCTATCTAAAACTCTATCAGACACCTAAACCCTTGAAGGTTGAGAGGGAGAGACTCATGAGGGTGATGGTTGATGTTCTTTGTATCTGCGTTCCTAGATTACTCTGAGGAGGATAACGTGAAGTTGTTCACTGAAGATTATGGCATTGCATGAAAGGAATGTAACATCAGGCCGTAAATTAATAGAAGTAGGGAAAAGCTCATTCTCAACTTCTGCTTGTTAATCCGTCCGCTTGCATATAAGCCCTTTGCACTGGGAACTTGTACTGAATAAATGTAGCTTTTATAATAAAGGAACCTGCCACACCAAGTGTATTTTGCAAAGATTTAGAGCAAAGAAAAGTTGCCTCCTGTCTTTAACTTCAGGTGCATGTAAAGTGAGTTTTGCGTTATTTTCTAAGACTACTTTTGCGTGTGAGATTTCATGTTCAGTACAACAGGAAGATTATGTGGTTCTGATTAATGTTAGCCCAGATGCCTTTCTTCTTAACCCCTTGAAATTGAAAAGAAGCATGAGTTACAGTGCAAACACAGATAGATTTAGTTGTACTTTAACATACTGGTCAAGGTGAGCCCAAGCCGTCCTAATGTGACATGCTTGACATAATCCAAAGTGGATATTAATATATTTAAAAAATACATTCTGATGTTGCTTCAGTGTTTTTTCTCCATGACAGGCATTCTAAATTAAAGCTTTTGTGGAAACTTGATTACAAACTTCCTGTGAGTCTGAACAACTGAAACCTTTTTGGAGCTGTCAAGATATGTTCTAATAGCTCTAATTTTTAGCTGACTACAGAGTTAAACTTATTCTTCAGGGTTGTTTTTTTTTTTTGCTAACAAATATCAGAAAAGTTTTGGAGAAGAAGCTGTGTTTCGATGCTGTCCTTTCCCCTTTTCCATTTCCCTTCTATAACTTTGGACAATTATTTATGTTAATCGAAAGCAAAATAGTTACACCACTTGTTTGCTTTTGTAGAAGGCCACGCACGAGGGAAAAAATAGAACAGTTGTTCATGATTTATATTGGGGTTTCGGAGCGTGAGGAAAAAGGAGGAGAACTTTAAGTTTCAAATGCCTGAAGTTAACAGTAAGGTTTTTTTTATTTGCACCCTCTTCCTACTCCTGCCCCACCCCCCACTCCTGGTCTTTCAAAAGTGCTCTGAGTGGTCCTGGTCATAGCCATCCCTGGTGGGGGTCACTTCACGTTTTCCACTCACGTGGCTTTCTAGTTTGTGTGACCTTTAGCATGAGAATGCTGAAGTTAAAGTCCGTGTAGTATTTCCCTGAGCAGGCTGGTCCTTTCACAGTGGCTGAACTGGACCATTTATATTTGTGACCATTTTAAGAAAGTGGATTGGGTCTAACCTAATGCATTCTAATCTCTTCATATGACTGGCTTGTTTATGTCTGAACTTAGTGGATGTTTTTTCAGTGTGCATGTTATTCCATGGCGTCCTCTGCCTCTAGAAAAGAGGTGGGAAAGGGCTTTTCACACTGATGAGATTACAGGTTAAGCGATATTTAAAGGTGTAACATTAACCTGATTTCAGGTTCATGACCCTGTCAATGTGATGCCAGCATTTTTACCCAATAGGTTAGAGTATTTAATTGCAAACTGTGGGAACAAGCAGTTGTTTAACTACCTTGAAGGTGATGTTCACCCTCATTCTGTTCCCTCATGCCCTAAGTCTGGTCATACCCCCCAAAAGTGGAAGCTGTTGGAAATAAATGAGGAGCTGGATTTGAGTAGGTTTAATGCACCTGGTCTGCGTGCATGCAAAAGTTAATGCATTTGCTGTACATGAACTCTAGTTTTGTTCTTTAAGGATGTTAGTGTAGTCATGTTTTATTTGCATACTGCTCTGAGTAAACAAGCCTTTTCTAAATGACTTTAGCACATGGTGTTAAAGTTGCTTGCTGCACATTTTAGTGGGTGTTTTGCTTAACACAGTACCCAGAAGTTCTTTTGCATCTAGTACAAATTTCTGGTAACATTTAGTACCTTTGTGGCAAAAGAGTAATCAGTGCATTGCACAATTTCATAGGTAAAGAAAATGCAAATTGAAACCTTGGAGACTCTTGCTCGGATTACGGAGCTTGTGTGATTCATTATGTGGCACATAATGATCACCATGCAGTAAATAATTGTCTTACAGTCAGAGTTTTTATTAACTTTGTTATACTGGAGATGAAGGACAAATATTGTGATTGTGCTAGTTAGTAGGGAATCTTTAGGTCCTAATTGTGTGTTTGAGCTTTGTAGAAGCAGTGATAGGAAAAGTGGCCTTTCCTGTATTTTCAAGAGAAGTTTCCTTCCTCTTCTGTCCAGTTCAGTTTTGTGTCGTCTTCTGGCTGTGGGCAATCGAAGCTAATTCCTTAACTGATTGTGTGACCAGATTTAGGGGCTAAGGAGGATCCTGAAATCAGGACTAAGAGTGTAAACTACTAGCATGTGATAGGTTGGGTCACTGAACCAACGCAAGGGTCAGAGCTAAAGTCCTTGCCTTTTTTCAGGACTAGAGCAGGATATAAAATACGTTCCCAAGAGATGTGACTTGAGATAAAATTAAATGTCCTGAATAAAGCACAAAAGAAACATGAGGTGTGAGAGTTTCTGAAACACAGGACAAAAGTGCCCTAAAAGTTTTAAGGGGATGCTGGGGTAGAGGCTTATATCTGAAGATCATTCTGGTCAGCTCAAACGTATACTCGCTTCTACGTACAGAGTTCTCTGACATTCACCATCTGCTGTGGTAGCATGTCCCTTGTGTAGGAGGCTTGTTATCCTTGTGGCAATTCTTCACCTTCTGTGAAATCTCTGTTGCATGCTTGTCTTAGCTCTGCTTTGAATATGGGTGATGAGGTCGCATAAGTTGCATGTTAGAGGTACTTTCTTCACCCTGTTAAACCTAATTAAATGTTGCTTGCTAAACTCGAAGTTCTATGTTGCTCTGTCTTGGGTAATGCTTCTCCCAAATAATCATGCGAGGAGGTCATTGCCATTGGGGACTGTTTTTTTTTTTTTTTTTTTTTTGCCTAAAACAGGCTCTTTAGTCTTGTGTTGATGGTTACAAGTACAACGTTTCTCTGAAACGGAAAGCCACTAACGATGTTCTGTGTGGGGAATTGAGAGATGCATGCTTTTGCATACTGGCAGGTCATATACTTTGTGATGGAGCAGCAACTGGCACAGATGTCTGCCAATGGATAGATTAATGCTCTAACAACTTGAGTATCACTTGCTTTTGCCAGGTGATACAAAAGGGTAGTTCAGCCTATTTCATCTCCCTTTTTACCCATTGGCACTTAGGTACTTAAGGCTGGTAGATTTCACAGTGATGCTCTCATGACACCCAAATGTAAAGTAATAAACGATTGTATTATACACTGTCCATTGATTCTGTAGCAAAGTGTAAATATTGCTAATTTCCCCACCTAATTTTCACTTGTTGGAGTGCAAATCAATATATGATGTATTTTGAGTATATGCATTTTTGGTAATAAGCCCCACTTACCACATTTCTTTTGCTTTATGCTCATAATAGAGATTTTAGAATTGTCAAGTGTGTATCCTTTTCCTTCTATTGATTGTTTTATTTTAGTTCCCCTTATTGTGTTCTTTTCACGTTCTTCTCTTCTGAATCTTTCTTTCTTTTTTTCCTCCTAGCAGTCTTTTTCTGTCTTGTGTGCATCTATCCATGTGCAAAGCATTTCTCTATGTTCACGCCCTCTGTAAAATAATGAACAACTAAATTCCTTCTCCATATCTTAAAGACAAGATGTAGCTAGGAGGACTCTGAGGATTCCGCTTTCCTAAAGTGGTGCTCTGTCTCAGATTTATTGTGTGATTGCTTTTGGTTGTATGATCTGTAAGTCTACATATTTCTTGAAAGAGAGAGAGGTTGACATACATTGAAGAAGCTAAATTTCTGACCAGAGATAGGTATGTTCTGAATACTTATGCTACCTAAGCAGTTAACCTTTATCTCCACTAATTGAGAGATGGCTGCCTTCAAGAATAATGTGTCAGTTTAAAACACATTCTAAATTTTAAACGACTCTACCAGCAAAGGATACGGTTTTGATAATGGTAGTTAAAAAGCTGTCTGACTTATTCCAGACAGTCTTAATAATGAGAACTATGTGATCTGAAATACTAAACTTCTGGAATTACAGTAACTTCTGTTAATATATATGATGCAGATTCCTGGAAACTTGAGGAACAGTCTTCCAGCGGCTGAGGAATGCAGCTCTCCCCGGATATGTGGATATCTTGCACAAATCAAACTGAAGTGGGATGGACTAGTAGTAAGTAAGTTTTTGTTCCTTTTCCAGGCATGTTTCTCCTGAGGTGGCTTTTTTTTTCTTTTCTTTTCTTTTCTTTTTTTTTTTTTTTTAAGACTTGTAATGCACATCGTATTCATTCGCCTAGATGGGCTGGATTAAAAGCTGAAAATGATTACCCAGCTGGGAAGAGGCCCAAGAAGATGTGTTACATGTTGTTTATGCTTTTACCAAACTTTAATTTTGACATCTCATTTCATAATGAATGCTCTATATCTCATTTTGTCTGTAATTTCAATTGCTTGTCTGCAACTGACTTCATTGCTCAGTGCACGGGGAGCTTGCCTCTTAAAGCAGGTCTTAATGAGCTCAAATGCAGCTGGAAGTGGATTCATCAGCAACAGTTGGAGATATTCATTCTGTATTGTAACAGCTGTGAACTTGAGTTCATATATGTAATGTGTGCTTAATCTTCCTGTGCTGTCAGTGATAGGAAGAGGAGGAATAACTTTTTTCCATATTTAATAATGATCTAACACAAGGCTTTTGACAGGTAAATTGCAAAGTATATGCTACAAAGCAAGTTAAGAAATAATTTTCCATGATTCTCAGTTTTGTAAGGCTTTTGATTTGCATTTCTAATATGATTAAAAACTAACTTACCTGTTTGAGTTTGCAAATTGCCTCATCTGTATGGAAGGTGATGGAAAAAGTGGAGGCATTGTAGTTTTACGGTTGTTCCTGAATTCTATCTGGACTTGGGGAAAAAAAAAAAAAAAAAAAGAAAAACCAAACCTGTTTCTGTTGTGAGGGTTTTGCTTTTGTTTTTCTTCTCTTTATCTCTTTCACCAATAATTCATTTAATATTGTTTGGAAATTTCAGGAGAGTGAGAGAAAAATGATCAGATTTATTAACTGAAAAGTGCTTAAGCACCACCACTTTGCCCCTTGCTTCTCTATGACATGAAGTATAAATTCATGAAGATGTGGAAAAGTGTGTGCTAGCCTGTTAGAATGAGTCTTCCTTTGTCTTATCTGTATTTTTTCAAAACTGTATCAAGATTGGTATGAATCAAATCTTGTTACTTGATATTTGAATCTTGGATACTTTCTGCCTAATCCTTTCTATAAGAACACTGTACATATTAAAATATAGTACAGTAAAGATCGTTGATTACATTCTCTTGCCTGCCAGTCCTTACTGTGTGATAAAATGTCTCACAGTTTTAGGTTGACCTTGCATTGGCTTTCGTACAGCTATAATCTGTTTGATGTCCTTTTAAAAGCTGAAAGGAACCCATACATAGAGTGAAATTGCACACTGTTGCTGACGTAATGTCCTTCATCTGATTAATTCAAGCTAATAGGATTTTGTGGTCTCTCCACTTTTTCTTCCCCTTTTTAAGTTTCAGATATTAGGCCAATGCCTTTACAAATGAAAGGCTAATCTCTGTTTTGTGACAAGGTGTATCTAGGTTTTTGCAGACCGTATTGATTATCTTGTGAAGTGATGATTCACGTTTTTCTGAATTGTTTTATGATACGCAAGATGGAACTCTTCAGAGTAGGGACATTTTTTTTCCTTTTTTTCAGAAGTGCTAATACAGGAAATATGTTTCCTTACCCTTGTGTCTTTGGATAGACCTCACACAGGGTTATAAGTACCTCCTTCTATTTGCAGCTTAGTGAAGTTGGGCACCTTACTGAGAACTTCATAGTTTGTCTTGGTAGCTCTGCTAAGCAGAGAGAGAGAGAGAGAGTCAATCTCATAGGTTTGGTGTGGTATATAGATGCCAAGTGCTAAGAATTCCTGGAATGTGGAGTTGCACAGAACTGATAAAGTTTGCTTTGTTTCCTTAGTGACTTGACCCATTGAGAAAGTGTGGTTCCCTAGGAAGCTTTAATAGCTCAAAGTTGGTATTGAATAAAGGGAAAGGCCCCAACATAATTCTGCTTGTTTTCACCTGCTGCCAAAAAGATTAATTTTCTTAACCTTAGTACAGAAAATACAACCCTGAGTTTTGAAAGTGATTTATAGAGATCCTTCACACTTATCAGTTTGAGTAAATATGCCACAGGCTTCTGCGTTTCAAACAACTATAATCTTTTCATAACCTAGTGAGTTTACAATGTGGTAATTTCATTTCAGGGCAAGAAAGTTTCAAGGAAAAACACCTTCTAATTAGAGTGATATAATCACTTTACTTACATACTGTGGTTTCATATGACTTCAGAAAAATAGTTGAGTGATTAATCTTTAATTTTACCCATCGTTAACTTAATAAGGAAACTGGAGATATAATGAAAAACAAATGGCAGAACTGTACAACTGGGCCATTATTATGCCAAATCTTTTTGGCTTTTTTTATTTGGTCAGAAATGCCATTCTGTGAACTGTGTGAAATGTGTCAGCAACTGTTACCTCAAATAACGTGTAAAAACATTTTTATAACAAGTTTGAACTTTATTGAAGCCTTTGCAGAGCTTGATACTGGAATTCCTCCCTCTTCCCCACAATCCCCATTTTATTTTCCAGTTTTATTAGGAAGCAAGCATTGCATCAACTAACTTCTAAAATCACAATTGCCTCACATCCGTTTTTCAGAAGGGAAGAAAGCCATCTTGAAAACTGCATGGAAATATTCTTAGAGTGAGTTTGGTTCTATTTTAGTGTCTGCTGCTATCTTTAGTCATGTTGCTGATAAGTTGACTTACTCAGTTGTGTAGTAATGCAGTTTTCATAATAAACATGACAGGATTGCTCTAGTGGCTTGGAGACCAAAACAGATTGCAACAATAGAAGCAAATTGCTTTTTTCATAAACTTTGCTGTAATTCTTACCAGATGTAAAATAGACAACATAATTTTGCAGATGTAATGCTTGAATAGTGAATATTCCTGGCTGTTTGAAAACGTTCTTCTGGAAGTTATACTTTCTTTACTTCATTAGTTAATACATGTAAAAACAGCCGAACAAACATCCGCATGTAGCAACACAACAGAAAAGAAGTTGTGGTGATCTTAACTAACCTGCTTGGAGGCCTCTGCATGTTAATAATATAAAGTAAGCAGCTGAGGAATGTGTATTGCTGTTGACAGTGAGCGACTGTAAACATCCTCGACTGGAAGCTGTGAAGCAGCAGATGGGGCTTTCAGTCGGATGTTTGCAGCTGCCAACTGCCACAGACGTCAAGAAATGTTTGACACCTAAAGCATAGTTGTCTGTTTAAAACTTATATTCTGTTTGTTTTGTCACAGACATACAAATTTAGGCCAAACCTTTCTACTTAGTACTTAATCTTTCTTGTGATGTCTGTGTCTAAATAGCTAGAAGTAGCTTAGTTATTGGTAGGAACTGTGAAATACTAGAAACTGAATAGAAAGCAAAAATAGAATAAATTAGGAGGGTTATTTTTAATTACAGACTTCATTTTAAGTCTTTAAAAGTAAGCTTCCCTACAGCTTGCTTTGCTGTGCGTATTGCTTGACTCGGTTACTAGACTCCACTAAGTTTAGTGGAGTCTAGCTTTTACTAGTATGCACACTTAGCATCTCTCTAATTCCTCATCTAGAATTTGAAATTCTAAGCCTTGTAGGAAGTAACCACTTACAGGATTTTTGGAAACTAGAAATACACTAATTATGGCAACTGTGGAAAACATTACAAAAATAACTCTTCCTGGAAAGTGCTAAGACTGCAAAATGATGGGGATGATAGGGAGATACCATTTGATTTGGCCCGTATCTGACATGTCTGGTAGTGTCTCAGTTGTTTGAGATTCTAATGATTTTCTTGCCTTGTTCCTTCTCCTTTCATTCACCTTCCTCCTCTCCCCTTGAAAGAAGGAGAGGAAGTGCTGGAAGCTGATTCATACTTTTCTAGAAGTCAGTTGAGACAATTTTAAGACTCCAGGACTGCCAATTACTTTTATGTATGGGTGGACCCCTGTGCTTAAGTATGACCCCAGGATCTTAGCTGCAGGGAACAGTTTGTGGTTGGCATGGTATTAGCCCTCTTATTTAATGGTGACTGCTATGCTACAAGAAAAAGAGCAACAAGGTTGTAGCACGTTTAAGTTGTTTTGAAAGCATATGTGCATTCACTCTTGCAATGATCTATGTTTTTGTTGGTGTACATGTTAGATAGCCAAGGTTTTGATAAAGAGTTTTGTTAACTTTTTTCTTGTTGCCAGTGTCCTTTCTCAAATGTGTATGCGTGTTTATATAAAAATATGACGGGGCATATCCTAAACCTTAATATGTTGCTTTACCTTTCATATATAACCTAAGATTCTCTGAAGATTCTGACCTGCTTCTTTGTTTTTGTTTTTTTAAAGGAGCTATGTCCTGGTGAAGATTCTCATGAAACATTATTGACATGTCTACTTAAAGCTATATCTGCGTGGTTCAGAACGCGTGATCTATGTTTGACAAAACTTTATTAATCCATGCTTTGCAAATAGCTTTTAGTGTAGATTTGTGTGCTTGCCATAGATTCAGATTATATTGTATTTCAGCAGTGCTTGAAGGCTCCTATTAGGATTAGCACTGCACATCATCTTGCACGCTTTGCCATACATAGTAAGATATGAGCTCTCCCAACAAGGGATTACAATCTAATTCAAGACCAGTTATCAAAGTGGAATCCAGATAATGTCAGCAGGAGACAAATGGGAAGAATGAGTGGAAAACCATATGGACAAGGAGTGAGGCTTAAGGCATGATTATACAGAGTAGCTGTCTGCGTGTGTAGGTGTCTTTGAGTTGTTTGCTTAGTTAAAATGGAGGAAGAGACAAAAGATGTCTGATTAACCAGTTAGTTTTCTAGCTATAAATGTTTTGAAAGCAGATGGTTTGGTAGGATGGTATGTGCATTTGAAGTTAGGAAAAAAGTTGATGAAGCTGAAGGTGTGGTGTTTGTTTGGGGGGGTGTGTGTGTATACAAGCACAGCGGAGGGGGCAGGTGAAATGGAAAGGGTTTTCCAAAAGCCTTTTTTTTGCAAATCTAAGAAATTCTGAAAAGC